CATTCCAACCTAATCAAATCAAATCTAGCAACATTCATTTGAACCAAAAACATAAATATATTATATTAAGCATAAAATAATATGTCAAAAGTGGTCAAACATTTCCAAGGGATAACCATGCATGTGAGATATCCAGAAGCCCCACCATTGTTTATAGGGTAAATTACAACCGCTACCTCAGGTATGATCAAATTACGAAAAAATCTCTTATGTTTGAGTAATTACAATCACCCCTCTTAACTATAAATCTTTTTACACGCCCACTCTTGCGATGACAAATTTAGTGAAATCTTCTAGATTATATGGAATATTCTCAATTTTGTACCCGTTTTATCCCATTCGAGCTCAACATTTTGAAGGAAGATGATCACAAAATGTGTTTTTTGGCTTGTATATATCAGATTGTAGTGCATCAGAAACTGCAAAACGAGTACAAATTAGAGAACATTTCACGGAATCTAAAAGATTATGTTGAATATGACACCATAAGGATGGACGTGTAAGAAGATTCATATAGGGGTAATTTTAATTATCCAAACACGACGGGAGTTTTCATAATTTGACCATACATCAGGGGTGGTTGTAATTTATCCTTATATATATATATATATATATATATATATATATATATATATATATATATATATATATATATATATATATATATATATATCATAAGTTCATAACTTATAAGTGCATTGAATCCTACTATGTATCATGATTTATTTATCCACCAGTCCAAAAGGATTATTGTTATTTATAAGCCGACATTATAAATATGATTTAAAGTAAACATTTAAAATGAGTATATACATGCATGTGTTTACTATGTTATGGGCCAAGTATGCAAAGTATATTTTCTAATGCATATTTAAATTAATTTTACTTCGTGCCTTGGATAGATATAGTATGCAACTTAGAATAAAAACAAAAGGATAGATAATCATCAAGTTTCGTACGTGCACCGGGATGGTGATGTCAGCCTAGTCTTGCTTGAATCCGTCTTTAGCTTCTGCCGGATTCTCGATTCACCGTCGTACGTACAACAACGGGAGAGGTTTCCCGATATATAAGCTCCGACAATTTTCAAAACCTCAATAATCGTTCTAGTAAAGGATTTTCAACGGATCGAATCCCACGGATTACTATCCGGGTAGATTTTACGCCACCCGGCCTATCACCTCTTCACCTCGTTATTGTATATTTTATTTTTTCAATCGATAATTTTCATGGCTCATATGAAAAAACTCGGATTGACAATAATTTCTATTTGCTCAATTGTGCCATGTTGAAATGAAGAAAGTTGTAGTCGTTATTCTCATTGTCATGTCTCATCGTCGATGAATATGGCGACTCTTAACATTGTTAAACTGGAGTCTGACTTGGCAGTCGGAGTGTCAACCCCGGTGTTAGTCCAGTCTCTATTATTTTGTCGGTTCAAACCGAATACATCCCAACACAAAACTCAAAATCCAGATTACCGAAAAAAGAAAGAAAAAAAAAACCTGCGAAATTAATTTTCCAATAATTATTGGGACAAATACTTGTCTATACAAAGGCTTATTAGTTTATTACACATGCTTATTCATATATTATTATGCATTCAATAGGTTCTTGTGACAACAATCCAAGCTATTATTTCAATATTTACATCTACAACCCCCATAGATACATACCTAATATTTACATTTTCTCCATACAATACAACACCTTTCTTTAGGACAGATCTATAGACAACCCCCGATAAATTCCGACCAAACTTGTACATAGGCCAAATCGATGTTAAGACATGGTGGGTTCTAGAAAATATGCTGTCACAGCCTTCAATCTGCCATTTAAGTAGTTCCTTTCTACCTGAAATTATTAATTAACGATAATAAAAAAAAAAATCAAAGATGAAAAGGGGTGATAGACACGCTCGTGGAAAAAAAAAGTACAGTAATATGAAAAAATAGAATAAAGAAAAACAAAATCGAGAGAGAGAGAGAATCTTAAACGATACCTCTAAAGACCAAGGAGGGGTAGCAGATAAAGACAACTCAGCCAACTGATCAATATCGACGTTTCTAGGGAGAAACATGACGATTTTGCGAGCAATTTTCTTTCCAGCATCGAAGAGAAATTGGCTAACGTAAACAAGAGAAGCGTATTATTAATTTATTAGAGCATCGAAAATTATAAAGAATAATTAAAAGCAAAGAGACTCAAATTATTGCGAAATTAACAAAATAAATTACCCGTCGTGTGGCTTAAGCATAGTGTTGATATCGAATTTCTTGACTTTGGAATAAGCAGGACCACCCCATGGTGGAGACATAAATACAGTGTTTGCCTGCAAAATAATATTTCAAATTAATTCCTCAAGGGACAAATAAGAACCTTCAAAATAAACCGAGAATCCATTTCACACTCAATTTCAAAAGAATTCCAAAAAAATATTCTTCAAAATTACGGTCACAAATAATATGTAATAAATTGACATAGCAAGATTTCATTATATGGGTCTAGAAGTCATTTTCTCTTACCTTTAATTTAGGTGCCAAAGAAAAAGAGTCGCCCGTTATGAAGTCTATGTTGTCGTCAACACCATATATGGCTGCATTATGCCGTGCATAGTCAATTTTATTCGGATCAATATCGATTGCAATCACATGTTTACTCCTGACCAAAAAAAAAAAAGAAAACAATACACTTCAACAAATTGATCAGAAATAAAAAATAAATTATAATTATCATAATATAAAAGAATAAAAAAGGAAAAAAAAAAAAAACCGTTGTGCGAATTGAATAGCATTGCCACCAACTCCAGTGAAAACATCGACAATTACACCACTACCACAACGAACCGCATGATGCTTTGCTAGAGTCTCTGGTGTAACAGAGAACCATCCTTCTTCATCCATTTTAATTCCAGAATCGAATCTCGAGAACAACAAGTACCTTTGGCACCAGTATTTGCTTATACTCGGACACACTTCTTGCAAAACTCCTTGCATTTCTAAACAGACAATTAATCGAATGAGATCAATATTGTATATCACATCCCAATTAAAAGTATAAAATAAAATAAATAAATAGACCTTCACTTGAAACGGGCAATTTCCCAGTAGATTTAGTTCTCCTGGCTTTCTTTTGCCTCGTGACAGTTGTCATGACATTATCAGTAGAAATCCAATTTCCCGATATAGTCATCATATCCACCTGTTCACTGCCCGTCGGCCAGTTCACAAAGTGCTCCATTCCAGAAGGAATCTCCCACGTAGATTCCTCGGTTTCGATATTGTAGAAATACGTTCTCATGTAGAAATCATCATAATATGCTTTCCACGCACCAGATTCACCTATTTGATGGTGTTGTTGGATAGTTGATTTTTTTTCAATTTTATCGAAATCGACAGCCTTGTTTATAGACTCCGCTTCGTCCGACATGTTACTGCCGAGTGTCGAGGAGGTGAGAAGTAAGGTACCGTCTTCATTCCTTAGGGTACTAGTCGTGCACGCGGTGGTGGACCCCACTGAGTCGCCCCGCTCGAGAGAGAGGTTGGATAAACCGTCTATGTCTATTGTGATTCCGTTGTCTGAAATTTCATTTTGATCAGACGTTTTGGAGGTATTAAGAAAACTATTGTCGCTCGTTTTTGTTGAATCTAGCATGTAGTCATCGAATTCAATTGGGATTTGTTGACTTTTCTTTCTTGTGCCTTTTTTTTTACCGTTGTTCACTCCTTGCCTAGTCTGCAAAAATAACATCACGTCCGTTAAATAAGACAGAGACAATTACCTGAGGGAGACTACAGCAAAACTAAGTTTTAAAAATAAAAACAAAATTTTCATTATGGATTTGAAATCCTTAGCTCTAAATCCTTTCATCCAAACACAACCTAACATTTTAATTAGAAGTGAAGTATCTATTTTCTGTTGTCAATTGAGAACTAAAACCTCATTCCACCTTAACAATCGATGCAATGCTGCAAGTAAATTTGGTTGCTTCGAATCAAATATTCAAGTTTACAACATTCAATAAATTCCAATTTCAAAAATCCCAAAAAATAGTAATAATAATAATAAGAAGAAGATAAATTGATTATGCAAACCTTCTTATTCGTACGAAAAGAAAGCGGAAGTCCCAAATCATTCAGCTGTTTGGCTAGTTCTACATCTTCTGCCGACGAACCGAATACTGAGATAATTCAATTCACGAGAATTCCAGACAATCGCAATAACATTAAACCGAATATCGATAATACACGAAAAGGAAATAATTTCATAAAGTACATTCAACGAAAGAAATTCAAAAACTTGCCATTAATCCTATCGCATTCGCTTTTTCCGTAATCCTTATCGCCGTAATTAAGTTTCTGCATTTCATACACATAAAAAAGCAGATTAAACCAAGACTAGATTTTTCTTTTCCGAATCAATCCAAAAAGCCATAGATTATTAAAAGCAAAAATATTAACTCACAATCGTTTCATGAATGCAAAGTGATTCTTGCATTTCAGTTGTGCAATCGTCCCTGTCAAGTGAGAAGCCAAAAAACAAAAATCCAATTCATTCACACACACATTAGAACGCGCACACACATAAACACAGAGTAGATTGATTGCTAACCATAAGTGAACTTCTGTGAGTTTAAACAGCGGGCCAAGAGCTCTGGCAGACGGCGATTCGTCCGCCGAGAAATCCATGGCGATGCTTCAATTTTTTTGAAGCGGATATCTGAAAACTAATTGGAGAATTGGGTGTGAAAAATTTATGGAGGGTTTTGGGGGTTTCCCTCTTTTAACACTGGAAATCTAGTAAAAGCGACAAAAGAGAAATAAAGAAAGAAAAAGGAAAAAGCAAAAGTTTTGAGAGAAAAGAGGTCAAACTAAAAGTCAACGATTTTGAATGTAGATGAAATTCGAGGTGGTGGGAACCGAAGGGGCGCCCCCCTTCCTTAACGAGGTGGTTTTTGCCTTATTTCAGCAATCATTTTTTCCAGATTTGAGAAATTGCTATCAATAAATTGTGGATTTCATGAATTAGATTTTGTGCAGAATCTGATTTCTATTATTATTATTTTTTTTTTTTTGACATTTTGTATTATTCATATTGTTTTATTCTGAAAATATGACTTTTTGTGACCGATACCTGGTCAATCTAGGAGGTTCTACTGGTGTTCAATTAAGGGTTTAAGCTCGTAAATTTTTTTGACTAGTTTCATATACTAGACAGTCTAATAGTATATTTTGGGTCACAGTAGCTCTCATCGTTTTGGTCACTACCACTTCACTTCCAAGCTTACTAGCTATCCGCGGGATCCAAGAAGTTGTGCGAGCTTCGTGAGTCTAGCAAGATTGTGAGATAATTGTTTTTGTATTTGCCAAAAACCTTCAGTGTTTTTGGAGGTTGAGTAGGAAATATTGCATATCTCTCTTGTCTCGGTTCCAGATTCCTCCTCCTTATCAATGTCTTCAATTTCCTCAACGAAAACAAGAACACACTCAATTTGATACAAGCCCGTACACTTGTGACCAGGTGTAAATTTATCATCACAAGCCTTGCTTCCTCCTCTCTTCCATCTCTAGTATGGTCAATCTCTTTGTGATTGGAGCTTTCCTTTCTTGAGGTTGTCCCTTGATAGTGTAACCCCGGATAGGTAATTCTAGGAGTTTTGTGAGTTGTGAACACACTCCTAACAACATTTTTTATCTCTGATTTCATATGGTCAACGTGAGATTCTTAAATCTTAGTCATCGGTATAGCATTGGCCAGTGTTTGTGGTCTCATCATCTTCACCATATTTTTTACATCTCCTTGTGGTCCCTCCACAAAACACTCTATGTAATAAGCTTGAAGCAAGTTTATGTGTTTATTAACCAAGAAAACCTTATGTTGTTCAAACTTGAGCATGTACTCCTCTAGTGGACTCATGTTTGAGCCTGTTAAATTCAGCCAATAAACTTATTCCCTTTTCCTTTAGAAATCTCTCCATCACCATATTGGAAAAGATTTCCCATCTAAGAAACTTATTTCCCTCAATATAATTAGAGAACCAATCATCAACCTTCTCATCCAAATACGTGGTAGCATGTGGAATCTTTTCAGCTTCACTCATAGGGTTAAGAGCAAAATACCTATGTTATCTTTTCATCCACTCTAGGGGTTTGGCCATCGAGTCTGAGAAAGTCCACCCTTACCATCATTTTGTTCCTTATGTCAAAAGAAGTTAAGGATATTACCTCCATCTTGAGCTGCACAATGTTTTAAAAATCGGCCGAGGCGGCCGATTAATCGGTCTCCGAAGCGGAGGCGGTCCAAAACCTTTACGATTTTAGTGTAAAGGTTTGAAAAATCGGTTTTTTGTCTGTGAGGCGGTTTGAGGCGGTCTGAGGCGGTCCGAGGCGATCCGAGGCGGTCAAACCTTTAAGGCGGGTCAAACTTCGGTGACAAAAATCGGCGAAAAATCGCTCAAAAATCGTTTTTTTTTTTTTTTTTTTTTTTTAGTAATTCAAAAGTTGGGATTTTAATAAAAAAATATGAGTTTATGCTTTATTTTGTTTATGTTAACTATTATTATTAAAGAACTAATGATGTATGTCAGGAATGTATGTAAATTCAAAAAAAAATGTCTTTTTATTTATATTTTATAAGGATATTTATGTATTATCATCTTATTATTATTAAACTTTTCTTATGTTATTAAGATATATACATGAGATATAACTATGTTTAAACATTTTTTTAAACATTTTTTTATTTTTTTATTTATTTATGTTTTGGATATTTATATTTACAAAAAAAGTTGGTCAACAAAAGTATTTTAATTTTACAAGTGAGAATTTGGAGTGTACACTCAACAAAAATATCAGAGATATACAAAACCACAAAACAGCAATTCATAACAATTTGTTCCAACATGCTGGAAAATAATATTATTACAATGATTTGAACTGAAATAAATAATAGACCCTCAACAGCATCAAACCACTATTTGAAAAAAAAAAAAAAAAAAAAAAAAAAGAAGAAGACACAGCCTCAGTAAAATTCAGGCAATACAATCTACCTATAGCGCGCTAAGAAAGTGGGAGTGCAAGATTATACTTTCGTTCGTAACGAAGTGTCTGGAACATTCTACGAACGAAAAGCAGCACTACTCCTCTAATTTCTATATGATGATCTACACCATGAATTAATATTATTTCTATTGACGGAATATAATATATATAATATATTATATTCGGTCATTAAAACACGGGAGCAACGTTCACCATGAACCTGTTTGTGTCCGCCTCAAGCATTGTCTCTTTGCCCCATCCTGCTGCTTCATCATCTCTAGAAACTGTCCACATAATACATATATTAATATTATTATTATTATTGGCCCGATAAACAAACATAAAGAACGCTTCCGATTTGTTTGGTAATAACATTTTCACGGGCACGGTGTTAAAAAAAGAGAAGCGAATTATCATACCTGATTCTTCTGCATTTCCAATATTTCTGCCTGCATTGTACAACGAACGGCTAATAAGTTATAATTCTCTTTTAAGCTAACTGCTATTTTCTATCGAGAGAGAGAGAGAGAGAGAGAGAGAGAGAGAGAGAGAGAGATGATTTATATATGTACCTGTTTCTTTTGCAATTCTTCTTGCTCCTCCTTTAATTTGGCAACTTCTTCTTCCAACTCCGTAGTGTATGCCTGGAAAAATACGAAAATAAATAAAAAATAATAAATCTAATTAAGGAAGCACTTATTCTAATATAATTTTTTTTTTGTAATTTTTTTATAATTACCTGCTTACGAGCTCGTGATCTAGCAGCGGACTCTCGATTCTTAATCATCCTTTTCTGCCTCCTCTCAACCACCTTCTCCACAGCAGCACTTCTCCTACCCCTTAATCCACCATTAAATACATACGGCACCGGCGTAACCGAAACCGAAGGTGTAGGCGCAGGCGCAGCCACACCATTAGCTCCTACACCCTGCACCACCATAGCATTGCTCGTTCCATAACCCGAAGCCGCCTGTTTAGGAAGAATCTGCAAATGCTGCTGTTGCTGTTGTTGATTCTCCACCTGTTGCGTAGAAGATCGGCCACCACTTACATTCACCGGTACACGATTCACCGGGTGCCACAAATCACCAAACGACCCGACATTATTATCATTATTATTAATATTATTAACATTAATATTATTATTATTAGTGGGGGCTAATTGAGTGTCCTCCCTCACGACACCGGCTCGAACCAAGAACTCCTCGAGCGTAATTTCACCCAAAGTCGGTTGCCTGTGGGGCCCACCATCGATCTCCTTGGAGATATCGCGCAAAACCTCGTCCACCGTTTTGTGGCTGAGCGTACGAGGAAGAATCAGCGAACCCTGTCTGTGCAAATTGCCGAGGCCTTCTAATTGACCATTGGAGGCGGGGGCGGCACCACCACCACCGCCACCACCGCCGCTAGTGGACCCCACATTCAGCTGATTCTCCTCAGCACTCCATATACTTCGGAGAAGCTCGTCCATGTTCATCGACCCGAAATCTTTCCCACTTTCGTTACCCACCGTGTTCTGGAGCTCGTCGAAAGTCAACGAGTAGAAACTATCGAAATTCTTGAAATTTAGATTATTGCTCCCCATTTTCTGTGTGTGTAGATGCTAATTAAATATAATTAATCCCCCTTCTTTGTCCTTCTTTACTCACTCCACATATGAAATGCAACCTTATTTATACTGTGTGTATGTATGTATGTATGTATGTCAGCAGATTTGTATCTACAACAAAAATTGAGCAGAAAACAGAGACAAATCAGAAAAATTAGGGAACAATTCAACCAATTTTTTTTTTGAATTTATTTTAACTAAAAAATACAACTTATTATCTCACAATCAGCATGCATTAATTTAAACCAAGAATTTAAATGGGAAAAAAAATTAATTTAAATTAGTGATTTTCCAAAATTTAAATTGGAAAAAAAAACAGGGAAATATAAATGAGTGAATTCAAAGATACCCACCAAAGATTCAATTTTGAAACAAAAATAAGGGTTAGAAATCAAATTTAAACTGAACCCACATGAAATTTCTTCAAAATCACCAAAGTTAAAGCATATTCCGGCTCTGATAAAAAAAAGAAAAAGCATATTCCGGCAAGAAAAAATAATAATAATAAATTAATTAATTAAATAAAGGCTGAAAATTTCAAGAAACTAACCAGAATATCTCGCACAAATTGACTGATTGTCCAAAACCAGATTTTTTATAACAGTTGAGCTTAGCAGCTGTAATAAAATGAATAGACAAGAACAGAAGCAAGCACAAAGAAAATATCTTGGACCAAAAATATATTTAAATACGGCGAAGTATTATTTTTTATTATAATATTGTTTTGGGATTTCGACAGGTGTCCTGCTGTGGAATTTTCAATTTAGGAACTATGGATAATAAAATACTGTTGTGTGGGTCCCACTTTAGTGAATCGTGTACCAATCAGGATGGTGGAGTGGGAGATTTCTAGTGTGACGTCGGGCCAATTGCTGAAAGGTACGTGGGATGATCTGGGCCGCACACGTACTGGTTGAATCGACGGTTGGATGTTGATGGAGCTTTGATTGATCGTGACGTGGCTCCCCCCACTAATTAAAAGATAACATTGTTTGAATCTTGAACGAAATTATTCAATTTTAAATAATCATGTGCGCAAAAGTTCATATGTTTGTCTCTTAATGTTGAATAATTATAACCAGGGGCGGAGCGAGATTAGAAAGAGGGGGGCTAACTAAAATTTCGGAGTTCGGGGCAGCGCTTCGAAAAAAAATTTAAGTTCACAAGACATTAGAAAATATGTTTATATTGTGAATTTTTAATTAAAATAATATATATATATATATATATATATATATATATATATATATATATATATATATATATATATATATATAATTTTATCATATTTCAAGTATGACAAAAATATCTAAATTATTCTGATAATATATTGCACTTAATGGGATTCATGCACGTCTCGTGTTATTTTTTAGAGACATATTGATATAAAAAATCAAAGATCGATAAGTAAATATTCATAAATTTTATTTAAAATAGTACAAGTTTTAACCATTTTATATTATTTTTTTTATATTAAATATAATATATATCTATAATTTATATAAAATTGTGGAGAATAAAAAAAAAATGAAGGGTTAAGATACATATTTACAAAACCTTTGGGGGAGCCAAAAGTAATATTCAAAAAATAGTATGCCAAAACAGCAAAAAAAAAATCTTGGGATCAGCCAAAGAGACAATTATTGTGAAATAGAGGGAGCATGTTGTATCCTTATGTATTTGCTAATTTCTAGTTGATAGATTATTTTTGGCACTCTGATTTGTATTTTGATTAGGATAATTAGGATATATTTGATTAGTCTATGATTCTATTATCTTGCTCATCCTATTCATCTTTCCATCATTCATCTCGCTGGTCAAGCAGGAAGATCTAAATTGAAAAATAAAATGGAAAAGAAAAGAACGCACGATGTTGATTGGAAGTTAGGGGAGAGGAGACGGCGTTTCACTAATAAATGGACAGAAAGAAAAGCAAAAATGATATAGGATACGGGATTATTATTAACATTAGTTTTGGACACTAAATAACATTATTTAAGTCAATATGTAAAACGGAGTTCAAAAGTATGTAATATCAATTTTAGAGGACAACCACATAACCCCATATTTGGGTGAGAGGTATGTATGATTGATCCCATGTGTGCCTTTCATTTATGAAATGATCACAAACATTTTTGGAGATTGAGTGTAGTGTGTTACACCCCTTGCTACAAAACACTCTTACTACATAAGCAACACGTGGCATGCAATTGTCAAAACACTAAACAAAACCGTCGTTATAACCGTTGATTTCTTTGTCAACACTCAACAATAATTCAGGCTAAGATGATGTTTGAATGGAAATCTTAAAAGAGCTACAATACAAATTAAAAGGTTGGTTTGTATATGTTGGAGGCAAAAAAACAATTGAATTTGAGCAATCAACATCAAGAATTATTATTGAAATTTCTAGTTAAATCCGTGCATCAAGATGCCGATTTACGAGTAGACGTAGCCACATATTGGGGGAGAGAATGTAATTGGGTCAATAATGAATCGACCAGAATGTAGAAGGCTATAAATTAAAATACAGTTGTCACTAGCAAAATTCTACTACTTTAGCGCTATATTAAAGTATCGAGTCAATAATTTAACACAATGTCATCGTCGGACCAATTAAGGCCAAAGGTCGAACATTGGTTCACAATATTTTTCATTTTTACCTTATCGGAATGGACATGATCATGTGATAATTGTGAATCGGCTGTTCGACCTATGAATTCCAATCGATTGGTCACACAAAAAATAAATAAATAAATAAATAAAAAAAGAAGAGAAAAAGAAAGAACAATCTCGAATAAGAAAACTGAAAATATTGGGGAGAAAAAGTTATGCAGTTGACAAAAGCAAATGTTAGTTGGGGGAATCACAGTTTTCATCCCTCAAGTTTGCATCGATTTCACATTTGGTCCTTGTGTTCACAAAAAACACATTTGGTCCCTCACGTTCCAATAATTTAACACTTTTGGTCATTTCCGTCAATTTACTGTCACTCTGTTAGTTAAGGCAAACACGGAACGCGTTTGCTTCCATTAGTTTTAACAGAAAATTGACTGAAATGACTAAAAATGTTGAATTTTTAAAACATAATTGACCAAATGTGTTTTTTGTGAACATAAGAGACCAAATATGATATCGGTGCAAACTTGAGGGACAAAAACTGTATTTTTCCCGTAATAACGTGGACGAATCAGATCGAAACTAACACTTTCGAGAAAAAAAAAATGAAGGTAAAAACTTATTCCAAATGGACTCGAGCCGGAGCCTGCCAGCCGAACTTGGCTCGTTCACACCCGTTCACACCCCTATTCACAAGTTCTTAAAAACATACTTTCCTCTATTTTTTCCAAAATAAATACATGACAATCGGTCGCCCCCGACTAATTCCGAAAAAGCTTTGGAACAACTGAAGTGGCTACACTCATATGAAAAAAACAAAAAAAAAAAAAAAAAGAAGAATCTTGAATATACGAGCTCAAATTTACTTCCAGTAACTAATTCTATGTCTTCTAAAATGTCTGAGAATAAAGTTATCTGCATAGAGAGGGTAGTGTTTTCTAATGAAACCCTTTATGCATTTCCAGTACGAGAAGTCGACCAATTCTCCGTCTTTATGAACTATGAATAAACATCTCGAGCATTCAAAGTTTGGATGGTACCCAATCTGTCAACCACAAAAAACAAACATCAAATAATTAGTTACCGAAGCTTCATACTAACATACACATATATACGTGTAAAATATGATCAACCAGCTTAAACACGCATGTCAGATTTCAATTATGAAATCGAAAAAGAAAAGGATACTTTACAAAATGGGGCAACGAACACATTCATTGTCGTCTACCAGACTAATGTTTCTTCCATTAAATGAATCAAGAGAGAGAAAAAACGGAAGTCTTTGACTTTCTGAAGGTCATACTTATCAATAGACATACAATCGGCTATGTAGTTTTAGGGTTCGATATGTGAAGTATTTAACGTGCATGAAATCGGTGTTATTCAAAGATCACCAGATCAATGTACTCGAATTATGTCTACACTATACACACTCTAAAGACAAGTTTATTATTTGTCAGTGAAACTGAATTCTTATTACACTCAACTAATTTCAAATTATGAATCAACTAACAAATAATCGCCTCAGATCTTTTTACACTCAACTGAATTCTTAGTGAAGTTTCTTCAGCGGTTTGAAAGAAGAAAGACTTCATAGATTGAACACTTCACATTTTAGAGATATTTCAAATTCTCTCTCCCTAATGCACGGCAAAGTGAAAATTTGAAAAAGAGGGCAAACTTAGGCATAATGTAAGCGTAAATAAAATAATAAACAACTATCATGTCGAACGAGACATGGAAAGAGGGTGAGGTCACGAGGTAGGGAAATACCGTGACGTAATCAACTCCACGACCAATCTTTTCTTCACACTCTGGATGATACACAAGCAGTCTTTCTAGAATTGTTTTCTCATGTTCGGGACTCAACCTATCACCGCTTTCATACCTGAAGACAAAAAAATTATACAATAGAGTCAAACAAAAATGCGTTTAACCTTAAACAACCTCCCGTCGTTTGTAATATATACACAAAAAACACAAGAATCGGGATGTAACAGTCTTGCACAAGTTACTACCACGTATCGCGCTCATGAAATTAAACGGAAATGACATTATACAAAGTCGATGCTTTGTATTTGGAAGCACACTCTCAGTTGTAACCCATATGGATTACACAAGCACGTAACAAAATTTAGTAAAAGTCGAGGATACGCACATGGTCAAGAATCAATTTCCAGCATCAAGTCAAGATTATTCTTTGTTTGTTCATTGCATTTGCAAGACAACAATAGCTTCATTATTGGTCATAAATCTCTGCTCCGAAAATGGAAATCGAATAACCACTAAAACTACTCATTTTCGTCGTTTCGAAGTTTAGTCATAGCCTGTTTTTAGGAGTCAAGATTGAGTTTTTATTACAAGCAATATCCAATCAAACACCAAAAAAAAAAAACATAGAAAATAGAAATTAATGGAGCTCACTTTCCAGAGTGAAGAATCATTCTAACAAACCCCACAAGGGGGACAGTGTCCTCTAAAATCCGGTCCTCCCAATCCTGCCACGTGGAACCATCTCCACCCTTCTCATCACCGGAATATTCTTCAACCGGATCCTCGTAATCGTCGGCGGCGGGCGGTAGCGCCACCGGCTTCCGTAACAACTCCGGCCCATACGCCGCGCCGCCGCCGTCGGACCTGGTGGTAATGGCGCGAAATCGGATTGTACGGAACGGGAGATATACTGAAAATGGGGATAAAATTCGGTTTTGGGGGATGGGTCCTCTGCGCAAGGAACGGAAACTTGTTGAATTGAGAGAAGCAATTGAAGCAGCCATTGTAATCGAACACTGCGACGCAATTGAACTCCGAATTTACGAATAAATAATCATTTTCTTCATCTTTTGGAATCTACTTGAGTTTCAGTAGTGAGGTTTAGACTAGAGGTTGAAGATCAGAAGATAAACAAGAGTCAGCAAATAGTAATTTTGCTTTGCGGGCTGGATTTTTGTAACAATTGGGCTTTGAAAGAAACCCAGCCCGATTGTCATAATTTTTTATTTTTTTTTTGATAGAAGATTGTCATAATTTACTAATATGTTAGAGCATCTCCAACCATCCATATTTTGGGATGGTATCAGCTAAAAATCCATCCATATAGTATTTGTAAGCAAAAAAACATGCTCCAACGAATAAGCTAAATTATTGTTTTGCAGGTAAAATCAATCCTCCTAAATATACCATCTACTGTACACAGGGCCGTTCCTGAGATTTTGGGGGCCCTAGGCGAGATTTGAAGACGGATAAAATATGGAGCACCTTCTACAATCTACAATAAAACTTAGGCTGCGGCTATATGCAATACTCAATCCACTTGTGCAAGACCAAATTAAAGAAAGATTCCAAAAGATTCTATTTTATTAAGATGGAATGACAAGTATGCCCATAAGTTAAATTGGCTTTTTTTTCTCATGTAAGACCAAATACAAATAATGAGAAAAAAACAAAAATCGACACCAAGGTGTCGAAAAACTATGCTACAAATCGACACTTAAGCGTCGAATTTCATAGGTAAAAATCGACATTGACATGTCAAATTTATAGCACAAATTCAAATGTCGAATTTTATACCTCAAAATCGACATCTAAATGTCGATTTTTACCTGTAAAATTCGACCTGTACATGTCGAATTCATTTGCGCGGGATTTTTTTTGGAAAGTCAATATTCTAACTAAAAAACCCATAAATACATACATTCTTGGGTTCTTCCGTCGTAGAATCTTCTATTGTGATGTCTTCTGACTCCATACTTGTCATCTTTGTAAGATTTGTTGAGTTTTGATAATTTTGAATTTCTAGGTTTTGTGGGTTAATGGAGGAGGAAGGAGAAAAGTCTTGTGGATTTTGGAAGATGGAGAAGATGAGAGTTGGTCTTGTGATTTTATGGTCTTGTGATAGGGTTTTATGTGTTTTTGAATTTTTTGTCTTGCATATTTGGAACTTTTTATTTTTTTAATAAATAAGGGTATTATAGTATTTATACATTGAAAATTTTAATTTGGTCTTGCACAAGTGGAATTAGTCTTGCATATAGCCGAAAACTAAAACTTATTTTATTATAAAAGGTGATAAACTCTATATTAACTCGATTTTCAAGGTACATAGCCAGTGGCAAGGCTAAAATT